CGGCGACCACCGAGATCATATATATATATATATGTGTGTGTGTGTGTGTATATGTGTGTATTTATGATCAAAATATTAATGTGCTTGTGATATTTTACTAGTACCACTTTGGGTCTTTTATAATTCTTGGAAGCATTTTCAAATCCTAAACAAAAGTTGTTCAGCGATGTAGAACTCTTTTCCTGTGATTATTACACTCGATGCTGAACGTTTGGTACAATGATTTCTGACCTCGTGACTTTAGGCGTTCTGTATAGTTCACTGAGTAATTCTGCCGACATTGTGGAAATACTGTACATGGCATTTTCAAAGGTGGTCATTTTGTCGCTGATCAAATCTTGCCTTGTTAATGAACTGTATCCGTCATCATATACACACTGTCTGAAGAAGAAAACAGAAAAACACTCACAGTGTAGGGCCACTTTTGGTTTTCATTACAACTTGTTTGTCCTGGGATTGTTCATATATGTTTTTAAGTTATTTCATAAAATTATACCCCGTCATAATATTTATTTCCATTCAAAGTTGTAAAAAGACGTTTTATGTGACAGTGAGATATGGATTGTGACATAAAATCTTTCTAAGGGCAAACATTTTTTTTTCAAGTTAATGTTTGAAATCTGTTGTGGCCAGTTAGTTTATGAGTAAAAAATAAGTCTTACATTCTTTGAATGTACCCGTACATACTTTAATGACAAGAACTAAGTCTATTGATAGAAAATATCTAAACGGGGCACCTAAAAATGCTGAGCAGATGAAGCAATCCCCAATCATAAAGCTTGACAAAAGCATCACTTCATCCACCACTGTTCTTACCTGATCACATTTGAGCTGATTAAATGGACTAACAGGCCCTCATGGCCCTGTTTTCCATTGCTCCAGAATACACTGTACCTTTTAGCAAACTGAAGCTTTTGGCTCAGCTAGGTCTTAACAGATAAATCATTTTCAAAATGTTACAACTTTAAGTTCTCTCAACTCTATTTCCAAAACCACAACACATGTCCTTTGAAATGTTTTGGAAATTTAAAATTGGTTTAAGGAATTTGTTGCCTTATAAATTATATTAAAGTTTTGAGTACTTTCCGCTGAGTGAGTCTTATACTGTACAGTATAGGTATTTAATTAAATCCAGGTTGTGACTCACCCACCTTCCTACACAGCAAAATCTCTTATAATACAATCTGGGAAGTAACACTTCATTTTCAACAAATTCAGAATAGAGTTCAAAATCTTATTTCTAACCTATAAAGTCCTCAACAACCTAGCTCCATCTTATATTACTAATGTTATTGTTCCATATTTTCATAACAGAACACTTTGCTCTCAGACTACGGCTTACTTGCGGTTCCTAGAGTTTCCAAGAGCAGAATAGGAAGAAGATCTTTAAGTTATCAGGCTCCTCTCTTGTGGAACCAACTTCCAGTTTCTGTCCGTGAGGCTGACACATTGTCCAGTTTTAAAACTGGGCTTAAGACTTCCCTTTTTGATAAATCCTATTGTTAGGGTTGGCTTGTTATACTGCCATAGGCTTTAGACTACTGGAGGACAAATTGACCTCATTATTTAAAAGAAACAGTTACAAATGTATACATATGAATAGTTTACATTTGAAATTATTTCTATCTCTTAACATGTGATGTCTCCCTGATTCTCGACCTGCCATTGTGTTTCTGTTCCTCCTTCCTGTCCTCTCAAACCCAACCAGTCGAAGCAGATGGCCGCTTGTCCTGAGCCTGGTTCTGCTGGAGGTTTCTTCCTCATGAGGGAGTTTTTCCTTTCCACTGTTGCCTTCATGCTTGCTCAAGATGAGTCTGTGACGAAGTTAGACTCAAAGCAGTCTGCTCCTAAGATAAATAATGTTATTAACTTGCTTTTTATGTATATAAGAAAATATATAAGATAAGATAATGAATGTATCTGTTCAGTGCCCTGAGATGACTTCTGTTGTTACTTGGTGCTATATATGTAAATAACATGAATTGAAATGAACCTTTCTCAACAGGAATAAACAGCTCTCAGTGCTAAATCACTAAAAGAGACATGCAGATGTTTTCGCACAAACAATGGAAGGCAAAAACAGACAATAAACCAATAAAGAAATGACCCCTGTGAAAAATTGCAAAGGAGGTCATGAGTCTGAAAAATTTAAAATGCATACAATCCCTTGAGGCTGGATAACACCTAATATTTTACTTTATAAAAAATGAGGTTTTATAACATGTTTAGGCATTTTACTGCTTATGAGTTTTAGTTGTTTTATTTTTTTTAATTTTTTTGGTAGAAGTGGCCAAACTCAAACAAGGCAAGAAGAAGAAGTAGATCTCCACATTAAAACAAAATGGAGTTAGAGACAAATAAAAGATGCATTGTCCATAACCAGACAAAACAAGGTGTGTTATATTCATACACATGCTCATCAACACTCCCTGCACACAAACATACTTTCTTTTTTTCATATTCATCACAAACCTGACCCCCTTCTCATAAGCCTACACTCTTCTAGCACTATGCCTGCATACGAGACATTACAATAAAGCAGAGTGCCAGTAACTTTAACAGGAAATAAGCTGTCAGTCTGAATGACTCGAACCTTCCTTGAAGACCACTTCCCTTCTAATGCGAACAACACATTCAACTCAAATACACTGTGTGCAGAAAATCCTTTTTTTAGGATGATTACATGCATGGCCACTTTTAATAAATAAGAATAAGTTTGAAGTAGTTTTTAACTACTGAAGCCCAGTGCACTCAAGTAGTTTATAGCAATAGATCTTGAAGTTATGGAGATAGTTGAAAATATGGACAACAGAGTTTGAACATAGATTATTTGCTTGTTTAAATAGTTCTAGCTCTAAGAAAACGGTTTCTCACATGTGCAGAAGTGTCAGTTTATTTTCAAGATCAGGTTCAAGCAGGTTTATTGTCATTCACACCACAGGTGGTACATGAGGTGGAACGAAATGATGTACACAGTTACACCCAACAATAGCGAAAATATAGTGTAAAAAGAAACAGTACGTAAAGATCAAAGATATACACTAAGATATACACTAAACACCAATAATGCTAAAGAATATGGCGTAACAACAGCAGGCCGAACATGAGTCTGTGTGAGCAGATGAGTACAAATGAATACAGCAGCATGGGTAAGTCACATATCACCAGTTAAATTTGGTTATTTATTATTTTATGTTTGTTTAAACGTATGCTTCTCTTAAAATGTAGTAAGTGAGAAATGACTACAAGATGACCAACAAGATGAGAATTAGCATTAGCCTACCTGATGCGGAACAGTACGGTAAGATGACCACCAAGATGGGCAGCAGCCACCTCGTCGTAGGTGCGGCCATCACATTTGGGCATCAAGTGTCTGTTAATAAAAACTCCAAATTAATACTCGCCTGATGCCACTTCACTGACCGGAAACATGTCCTTTGTTTGCAGTGAAAACAGCACGAGAAGCGATCTCATCCTCACTTCGTAAACTCTCAAAAGTTTGTTAGCTCACGCGCTGACCGTTATAACAACTTTGTTTGTAATACTTGACGACGGTGTTGCTGTCATGCTGTGTGTCATTCACGGTCCAAGAAGCTTAACGATTAGTTTTTCTACACACAAAAAAAGAAAAACATTTTAAAATGTCAAAATATTTACCTCATTGCAACAAACAGTACAGCTACTACAGTAAGGTGATCGGTGTTCTTGTCTGTTAAGTTCAGCTTCTAGCTCCGCCCATTTCTGGAATTACCAGTGACGTCATGTGCGACCACAACAAACTGTCTGTGAGACAGGAAGTAGCGCTGTTAACGCAGTCGCTATATACAATCATGCTTTTTGCACGTTCACAAAACGTGTCGATGTAACCTAAGCATTGTTGTCGTCGGGGTTTTTTTTCTCAGCACAGCTCAAAGAAAAGCTGCAAGATGTACCAAACCCTAAAAAGAAACTAAAAACACACAATAATTAGGTGCATTTGCTTTCATTTTATGTCACCTAATATTTTTACTACTTCATCACATGTGATTAAGTACTGTGCAAAGGTCCTGTCATTTCTTTGGATTTGGCTTCCAATGACTTTCTTATAACCATTCAAAATGGCCTTGATCAGTAGTTCTTCAGACTACTTGCTTTTCAGACTCATTGAGAAATCATTGACAAATATCAAAATTAAAGGTTAAACTGGTGTTTGGTCGACACAACAGACAGTTTAGTAAAGAACCATTCTTATTTAGGAGGTGGAGGCTTTTTTTAGCAGCAGCCTAAAGACATTCCAATTTATTTGGTTGATTCTAGTGAAACAGTTTGATGCATTAACTAGCATCAACAAGGTGATTTCTAAAGAGCTGAAAACTTGACAATGATAATGATCATTGTGATAATGATGATAATGATGATTGGTAATAAACAATTAATGGATGATGCATTTCTCAAGTTCAGCTTTGCTAGATTTTCCTCTGCATCATAAAAAAGTGACTCAGATACTGTTGTAGATATATTTTTTAGACCTGCCACTTCTTGTTTTTTGTACCCTCATTTTAACACACACTGCACTTTGCTGTCACAGTCATCATTAGGGAAGAAAAACTTGCCAAAGTTAAATAAATAAATAAAAAAAAAACTTTGAAAGATGTCCAGAAAGCCTGAAAAGTTGAAAAAGATTACATCCAAGTCTTGCTTATTTGAAGCAACATAAGAATTACATGTTTAAAACCAATCAAAAAAGTTAAGTCTGGTCCTCTGGACATTCAAAAAACAAAATAAAACAACAACAACAACAAAAGTAGAAACGTTTCGTCTTTCATCCAAAAGACTTCCTCAGTCTGAGGTGCTGTATTCAGCTCAGTCTTATAAATAGCACCTTCTCGTAGTGGATCAACCAGTTTGCTGCTGACAGCCAAAAACAGCTCAAAAACATGATCAAGGAGGACCATCAGCCTAACGATGGATCATTAGCACACTGATGGCTGTTTGCTATTCACAGGGGGCTGAGTAATACTAGTAATAGCATTGTAAGAGGGGGACAGTTGAACACGGAGGCCTCCACCCCTGTTTAATGATGGATAGTTTCTTTTCACAAAGATGACCTTCTTTACTCCTCTCTCAAACCATTGTTCCTCTCTGTCCAGGATGTGAACATCTTCATCCCTGAAAGAGTGACCGCTGGAGGACTCTGCGGTCTACACTCATCTCCAGGCCAGCGGTAATTATCTAGATGTTCTGTTGCATCAAGGCTTTATAAGAAAGTTTGGTTATTCAAAACAAGCAGAATCCTGCTTATTTAATCATGTAACCAAAAACATTACATAACCTCCATGATCTGGTGTACTGGATAGGGAACATATAAGAACAGTGCATCTGCATTGTGTTGTAACTGTAGCATTAATATAGTTTAAATGTTCTTCTGACTCAACTTGCCATCTTTATATCTTGTTATGAAACCTTCCATGTCTCATACTGTAAAGCACATTAAAGTGTCTTGTAAATAGCTTTTCTTAATAGTGATGCAGTAGAACTGAAGTGGGCACTTTTTATTAGCAATTTTCACAAGACATTTTTACAATGAATTCACGGAACAGATCAAACAATGTTGAATAATAAACAAGGAAGATTAGATCAGTGGATCATGACTCCCTAAACTGAATTAACATTCTGTGGATCTGGATGAAGCAAACGTGTCATCAATACACTGATGCATCAGAATTTTAATGTTAATGTTATATTTTGTAGGAATGTTTAAATCATGATTACAGAACATTTTGCTGATGAAAATTCTCTACATCAACTTAAAAAAAAGTTCAAATTCATGATTTTTAAGAACAGCAACATTGATCAAAATTTTTTGAACATTTCCATCAAAACTCTTTATTTTTTGTGTTTATTATTTGTGTTACATGCCCTTGTGTCATTTTATGAATGAATGTCTGCTTAATTAACTTGTCCTCTGTTTCAAGACCTGACTGGCAGTCAAGATTTTAAATGGAACATTAGCTTGTCTGGTTTGAGGCTTTCTACCCTTTTTTTAGTTTTTGCCTGAATTCCAACTCTCCTGACTTTGTAAATATTGTTTCTATTAAAATTATTTCAAACACTGAAATGATCTGCATTCCAGATGTTATGTTTCCTTCAGTCTTTGACGCATGGGCTATAACATATTTGGGGGCTCGTCCGGGATCTAAACACGGAATGTCTTGCACCAAAAGCAGAAAATAAATGTGATGAACATCACTGTTGCAAAGTTTGGTAAGTGAGAAAAATAGAGCAATACATATATGGGTAAGGCCTTTTAGTTTTATGACAGATTTGTTACTCATTTGAATTTCTAGCATGAAACACTCTCTGTTATGTGAAATAAATGTAAAGTATGAAAATAAACTCAGTTGATTGTTACAAATTAAATTACATCTTGTTAAACATAAGTGCCTTTTTATGAAGACGTTAATAAACAATTTAAACAAACAGCTTATTCCAAGTTCTCAACAGTTACAGCAGAACTCAGAAAAAAACACACACAATTTTTTGTCTATAAACAAAAATTACAGTATGTTTTGGACATAAATACAAAGATTGAGTCAATAATGAAACACGAAACACAACAGACAGATCCAAATTCTTTTGAAATGTAAATGAACATGAATTTGTGTGCATATTTGTGTGAAGGTTGTTTCAGTGTAAAAGTATTGTCTGCAAGCTTGTGCATACAGATCTTATATCTCAGCCCTCAGCACAGGGAGCTGATCTCACTTTTGCTGCAGCCCCACTTGCAGCAGGCGTTGGACAGACCAACCACAACATCCCGGCCTTTGCGGTCAGCTTTGCGAAGAGCCTCGAGGATCTCGTCAGTGATGAAAGAACGCGCAGACCTGCTAAACACTCCCTCCTGGTTGTTTCTGGTTGTAAAGCTGAGATCTTTGTTTCTCTGAAGGAGATTCTCCACTGACAAATTGGAATTAAAACCCTCTAAAGACTCGTCTTGATGGGAGCTGAATGGATCCTCCGAAACATCTGCTGGAGAAAAGATAAAACTGGCAAATCAAATATTGGACAATCTTTATTGGTGTTGGAGGGGATACAGAATTGAGAATATAGAATGAATTCTAGAATTGTAAATGGCGTAATTCAAGAACAGCAAGTCTAGAATGCCTTTACCTTTTGCTTCACATGAAAATGGGCTAAAAAGGTATATTTTGATCAAGTGAGAAACAAAACGTTAAACATGGCAAATAAGAATGCTGAAATAAATCAGATGTTACAAAAAATTAAAGATGTATAAAAAATAACTCATATAATAAACAGAACAGAACATGGGCCGAGATGGTGTAGGGGCAGGGCAGCTGACTCGGGGCCCGAAGGTCCTGGGCTCGAACCCCGGTCCTAGTACATCTCGTGGCGTCTCGAGCAGGACACCCAAGCCCAAATTGCTCCCCAGGAACTTACATAGCTGCCCAATTTCGTCTTTGTATGGGAACATACAATGATGACAACACATAGCACTTTACTTTTATTTTATATAGAAACATTTGCTTTATGTTTAAAAGTAAACTTTAAACATGACAATGGAATGAATAAATCCTATTATGAAGGCCAGTGAAGGTGAAGCACCTTGTGTCATACCTGGACTCCTGAGTGACCGCCTCCATCGTGAGCCTCCACAAGTGAAAATGACTGCCCGAATGAACTCTCGTCCGCAGAGTTTCACTCCGTATGTTGGATCCTCCATGGGCTGAGCCTCAGCCACAATCAGACACAAAGCCAGAGCCACAGCTTTCCACATGGTGCCCACAAGCTGATACAGCAGGGAAGAAATATTCAAAATCAGAGGGGATTCAGTCTCCCTGTTTGCATGAGCAGTGACTACAAGTGACCCAGAGCCAGTTTATAAAGGAGTTTGGAGCCATGCATGGCAGACATTCACACTGCGCATGCAGGCCTTTTCCAAAAGAGAAAGAGATTCTAACGAGAGATACAGAGAGAGACCTTTATGGAAACAAAGGGCAGTCCAAAGGTGGCCTAATCAACAAATGTGATGGAAGCTTCTGTGATCTAACTGTGTATCAGCTTGTGACGTGTACTGGTCACCTTCAGTATCCCTCAGTGTAGTTTTATTAAAACATCTCATAATTATCAATGTACACAAAACATTACCAAAACAATTAGAAAGATAACAAATAAAAATTGACTTGCAGGTTGTATTACTATGT